TTTTAGAAAATATTTATTTATTTCGTTTTAGAGGGACACAATATCTTTATTTTACTTTTATGTGGTGCTAAGGATAGAACCCAGTGCCTCATGCATGCTAGGTGAGCACACGACCACTGAGCCACAATCCCAGCCCTGGATTGGCTTACTTCACTTAGCATTATATTCTCCAGTTCTATCCATTTACCTTTAATTGCCATGATTTTATTCCCTTTTAATGCTGAGTAATATTCCATTGTGTGTGTATACCACATTTTTTTTTTTTTACCCATTCATCTATTGAAGGGTGTTTAGGTTGGATCCACAATTTAGCTATTGTGAATTGTACTGCTATAAACATTGATATGTCTGTGTCCCTGTAGTATGCTATTTTTAAGTCCTTTGGGTATAAACTGAGGAGTAGGATAGCTGGGTCAGATGGTGGTTCCATTCCCAGTTTTCCAAGGAATCTCCATTCTGCTTTCTATATTGGCTAATTAACCAGAGACCCTGTGCCTATTAGAAGAAAAAGTAGGCCCAAATCTTCATTATGTCGGATTAGGCCCCAGTTTCTTTAATAGAATTCCTATTAAAATCAGGAGTCAATAAATTGGATGGATTCATACTAAAAAGCTTCTTTTCAGCAAAACAAACAGTCAGTGAAGTGAATAGAGAATCTATAGATGGGAACAAATTTTTACCACACGCACATCAAAGCACTAATTTCTAGGATATATAAAGAACTCATAAAAACAAGTAAACCAATCAACAAATGGGCTAAGGAACTGAACAGACACTTCTCAGAAGATCATATACAGTCAACAAATACATGAAAAATTATTCAACATCTCTAGCAATTAGAGAAGTGCAAATCAAAACCACTCTAAGATTTCATTTCACTCCAGTCAGAATGGCAGCTATTAAGAATACAAATAACGATAGGGCTGGGGTTGTAGCTCAGTGGCAGAGTGCATGCGTAGCATACATGAGGCACTGGGTTTGATCCTCAACACCCCATAAAAATAAATAAAAAATAAAGGCATTCTGTCCATCTACAGGTACAAAAAAAAATTAAAAAAAAAAGATGTGGGGGAAAAAGTCACATGCATACATTAATAGTGGGACTACAAATTGGTGTAGCCAATTTGGAAAGTAGTATGGCTATTTCTTATTTGTTTATTTTTATGTGGTGCTAAGGATCAAATCCAGTGCTTCACACATGTGAGACAAGTGCTGTGCCACTGAGCTACAGCCCCAGCCCTTGGGTAGAATTTTAACATTTCTAAGACAAAATCTGTTTAATTGTCAGTGGACCTTTTATTTATTTATTTATACATGGTACTCTCACATGCCAGGCAAGCACTCTACCACTGAACCACAACCCCAGCCCTAAGGCAAATTTAAATAGTTGTTTTACTTTATTATTCTCATTTTTTAAATTCTGAAATTGGTGCTCTTATAAAAAAAATTTCTTATATAATCCAGGCTCCCCCCACTCCCATCAACACCCTATATATATAGGTCCTTCTAGAAATACTTTGTTGGATATTTAAAAAATATAACACTGATTCTCGGATTTGGCTGCACCTTAGAATCACATGTAGGATTTTTAAAAATGTTGAGTAACTTTACAGTGGAGAAGCCTAATACAATCTTAGCCAGAGAAGGAAGTCACTATCAGTGTTGATAAGTCATGTTAGTGTGAGTATCCTTGGTATGATGTGATGAGAATGGCAGTTTATCTCTGTGATCTTCCTTTTTCTAAACCATAGTCCCAATTTAATCATGGGAAAAATAGTAGAAAAATCCCAATTGAAGGACATTCTACAGAATACTTGATCAGTACTTTTCAAAATTGTCATAGGCCAGAGGTATCTAACGAGACACAACAACTCCATGTTATATGATAGGTATATCCTGATTGGGGTCCTGGAGCAGAAAGAGGAAACTGTAAAGACTAAGGAAACCTGAGTGAATTGTGGACTTTAGTTAGTAATATTATCTATTAATATTGGTACACCCATTGTGACAAATGTATCATTTTAATGTAAGGTGTTGATAACAAGGGAAAGTGGGGGCTTGGGGATGTAGCTTAGTGGTGGAGAACCTCCTTAGCATGCTCAAGGCCCTGGAGTCAATCCTACCACTAAAGGGGAAAAAAAGAAAAAGGGGACAACTGAGTGTAGGTTTTATGAAAACTTTTTGTACTATCTTTTCAGTTTTTCTGTAAATTCAAGATTATTTTAAAATGTAAAATCTGTTTTAAAAGAAAGCTGCTGGGGCTGGGGTTGTGGCTCAGTGGTAGAGCGCTCGCCTCACACATGTGGGTTCAATCCTCAGCACCACATAAAAATAAATAAACAAAATAAAGATTAAAAAAAATAAAAGCTATCTGGGAGTATATCTGTTATTTTTATATAGAGTGATTGTTCTAAGATAGACCTTGGCCTTTGACACTTATTGGAAAATTTGCTTGATTCTCATGTCTAGCCAAAGTTAAAAATCACTATATGTCAGAATGGTAGATGAGAGTGATCTGCTTTTTTTCTTAATATTTTTTTAGTTGTAGATAGACCCAGTACCTTTATTTTATTTGTTTATTTTTCTGTGGTGCTGGGGATTGAACCCAGTGACTCATGCATGCTGGGCAATTGCTCTACCACTGAGCCACAACCCCAGCCTGAGAGTGACTTGATTTTAAGTCAAAACTAAATGTCAGTCATTAATCATTTGCTGTTCTTTATTGGGTCTAAGATATTCTTACTCAAATCTGAGACCAGCTTCCAATGCAAAAACAATGTCTCCAGAAGCTCCTCTATGCACTCCGGTGCTGCTTCTCTGGTTTACCATGTACTTAGGTGGAGGGAATATACTTGGTCCAGTTCAGTTGTGGCAGGTGGTGTGTTGGTTATTTTCAGTGCCTTGTGTATGTGTCTTTAGCCTGCTGCATAACCGTTGTAGTGCCATGCGCAGTTCCTTAGGAAAATGGACATAGTTTATTGAAGCACCATATGCAGTTGCTGATCTCTAAACTTCCATTTAGAGAATAAGTAATGAGTATGGCAGGAGAATTTTAATCTTTACCATCCAGTTCAAGAAATCTGTTAAAACAATAAAGGCAAAATATGTATGATTCTGCTAGGATGGTGTGTATGTGTATATGTATATATGTTTATGTAATATATACATATACAGAGTATTTACTTATTTTTAATTTTTTGGTGGTACTGGAGGTTGAACCTAGGAATGCTCTTCCACTGAGCTACATCTCCAGCCCTTTTTATGTTTTGAGACCAGGTTTCATTTAGTTCCCCAGGCTGACTTTGAATTTGTGATACTCCAGCCTCAGCCTTCTGAGTAGCTGGACTTACAGACATGTGCCATCATGCTGGGCTGTTTTCTTCTTAAAATATTTTGAAGTTTTAACTTTGTAGTGTTGTCCAACACTGTGTTCATAGCTTCATGTTAGTTTTATTTTTTTTTTTTTGACTTATGGACGAATCTTTATATATTAATTTTTTTTTTTAGTTGTAGATGGGCATAATACATTTATTTACTTTTACGTGGTACTGAGGATCAAACTCAATGCTTTACATGTGCTAGGCAGGTGCTCCACCACTGAGCTACAGCTCCAACCCCTTGTTTATTTTTATGTGGTACCGAGAATTGAACCCAGTGCTTCACAAATGGTAGGCAAGCACTCTATCACTGAGGCATGACCCCAGTCCCACTTTACATCAGTTCTGTTTTCACATTTCACCATTCCCAATAATCCCAGGAACAGCAGACCTGGATTTGAGTCCTGACTATACTTACCAGCTTTAAGTTTCCATGCAAGTCTGGGAATACTCTATCATCTCTCAGTTGTGAGTTGTCCCTGTGGTGTGGGGTTGTTGTGAGGATTAATGTGAGGAATATAAAGGATGTAGCAGATTGCCAGGCACAGAAAATGCCATGAGTGGACACTACTGCCACAGAATCAGTACCCTGTCTGGCCAGGTCTGCCCCCAGGTCCAGTTTGAATCCTGTGACTATTGCCTGCCATTTGGAGATGTGAGGTGTATAAAACAAGAACCACATGTTTTCAAGACACCACAGGAAGGTAGTGGTTCTACATAATTGTGGCAGTCAAAAGCTTTTCTTACTTTTCTATCTAGACAGGAGTGTGGTAATCACTTTTGTGTGATAGGTAGTCAGAGCAGGGGTCTTTTATAAATGGAACATTATATATATATATATATATATATATATATATATATAGAGAGAGAGAGAGAGAGAGAGAGAGAGAGAGAGAGAGAGAGAGAGAGAGGTTTGTCTTCTGAAGTACTTGCCCAATTATAAACTAGATATTGTAAAAATTATCCTCTGTGTGTGTGTGGAGTAGGTTTGAGCTCTAAAACAAACAAGGCTCATTCAAGAAGAACATGCAGGGTTCTTTTATATGAATGTAAACAATAGATTAGTTAATGATTTAAAATGACTGAGCTATTAAATGCCTAGTTTGATATTACTAAACTTAATTGGCAGGCAAACTCCAGGATTTCTTTCTTTATTAATTTTTTATTTAGTCTTATAAATATTAATTAGATGAATTAGTTCACTTTTTTTTTCTTGGTACTGGGAAACCCAAAGATGCCTTACTACTGAGCTATATCTTCAGTCCCTTTTATTTTTTACTTTGAGGAAAGGGTTAAGTTAAGGGTTAAGTTGCCCAGGCTGGTCTCGAACCTCTGATCCTCCTGCTTCAGCCTACCAAGTTACTGGGATTATAGGCTTGCACCACCATGCCCTATACTTTTTTCTTTTTGCCACATACTTCATTTGTCAGTCATTTTTGCAAATAAGTCTTCCAGATGATAGAAATTTACCTCTCAATCAAATAAAATTTATCTTATTCCACTATTTGTAATATCTTTAATATATTGTGGGCTAAGAAATTGGATTTATTAGCATTAGATCTCAGGATGTCAAGGGTTGATGGGAACTTAAACTATATCTAAGTTAGTCATCTAATGCCTGAGAATTGTTTAAAAGGTAGTTGATACAGGGTGAAATTGATTCTGGGTGAAATTAGAGGTCCTTTCTTTCAGGTCACACAGTCCATCAAGGATTGGGTGCCAGTCTGATGGTTTCTTCTCTAGCTGAGGAACACTTTCTGTGTTGACTTTGTGCTTCAGATTGTGCTCCACAGCTCCTTGACGTTGTTAAAAACTTGAGTGTTATCTAAGTGTCTGAATCACCTTAACATTTAGATATTAATATAATGGATTTTAAAAAATAGAGAAATGAAGCTATTTCCAACCCTGCCTTCCAGGTCCTTATGTTATGGCCAGTGTTGCAACAAAAATTTTTCAAGAATTGGTGGAAGGTGTATTTTACATACATGACATGGGAATTGTACACAGAGATCTGAAGGTAAGTTGGGTATCTGAATCCTTGAAAGCAGTAGTGGTGACTTTATGTGAGGGGTGACTTGATGTGGGCTCCCTGGGTACAGTGAGATGATGTACCCTTGTTCATATACTTGGAAGGTCATTGTTACTTCTGTATAAATCATCATTGCATAGGTCCAGTCAAGAAAACCTTAGATTAAATTAAAAACAGCAATTTTAGAGTATTTGAACGTTACTCTTGGATTCCAGGTACTGTTCTAATATTAGTGATGCTGAATGTACTTAGTACTGTCAGAAATGCTTATATATTATCATAGCATTAGATAATAAACTTTCTGGGAAAGTTTAATTTTTTGCTGCTTGAAAAATGATGATAAGCACTATTCCAGTTTTTAATCCACAAAAGACTATCAAGAAAAATATTTTCTTCTTTTGCTGACAAATTTTAAAGTAAGTTGTTTATTTTTCAGGCAAAACTTAAATTGTGATAAAGGCATTTAAAAGAAAATTAAGGAGCATAAGAGTTAATGTGCAGGGGCTGGGATTGTGGCTCAGTGGTAGGGCGCTTGCCTTGTACGTGAGGCACTTGGTTCTATCCTCAGCACCATATAAAAATAAATAAATGTATTGAGCCCATGTACAACTAAAAATATTAAAAAAATTAATGTGCAAATCACTTTATTTTTTGAAAAGGGTTTAGGAACCAGTAGTTTCTACATTGGGATGTAAGGATGATGAGTTATGTATTTTCTGGTGTATGTCTAGCCAGAAAAAGCATTTTGAGTTGTTGAAATTCTCTGGCACTAAGGAACCTGGAGGTCTTATTTCAAGAGGTAAGCTAAATCATAACAGCAGTATATAGAGTTCCACATCTTCATCGGGAGAAGTTTCTTCAGGTGTTGTTTGTATTTCTCACCATAAACGTTTCTGATGTTTCTTGTACAGATATCCTCTAGGGATAAAGGTTTTTGAGAAAAGTTTATTAGGGTTTCCTTTAAGAGGTGGAATTCTGGTAGCATGATTCCTGCAGGTAGGATACCTTGCTTATTGGTCAATCTCAAAGGGTAAGTGTGATAAAGTAGCCTGGCAAGAAGTGTCACATCTCTGATGTTGGAACTGCGTTGAAGGTACATATAAATTGGAGATTCTGAGTTTTTTGTTAAAATGTTGACATTTGCTTCAAATTCCAGCAAGAGATTTATTATTGCCTCTCTGCCTCCAAAACATGCCTCATGGAGAGCTGTTTGACCTTCATAGTCCTGGGCATTAACTTTGGCTCCATGAAGTAGCAGCATACGGATACAGCTAACCCCTGCTGCTAGCAATCGGCCTGCCTTGCTTGATGCTGTACACACTGCCAGCTTCAGGGCTGTGTTCCCGGTAGAAGAGACAGCACAGTTAACATTTGCACCACATGCAATGAGCGTTTCCATCATTTCCTTATTCAGTACATCTGCAGCCATGTGAAGGGGTGTCATGCTGGATTCATTAATGGCATTGACCTGAGCACCATTTTGGGTCAAAATGGAGAGAACTGGGTAGGTTCCATACGTTATGGCCAGGTGGAGGGGTGAATGTTTGTTGCTGTTGTCTACCCGGGCATTAACTTGAGCTCCATGTTCACACAAAATGCGGAGACACAGTACAGCATTATTCTGAATGTCTGTCAGGATCCTTTGGATTCTGTCGCCTGGTTTTGTCCATGTGGTAGAAGTGATTGGCCAATGCAGTAACATCAAGTGAAGAGCCGTGAGGCCGCGTGTGTCCCTGGAAGGGTATTTATCACATGTTAACTAGATTAACAGTGAGAATGGCTCTGAATGAAAAATTAAATGTTTAAGAAGGCAATATTTTCTTAATATCCTTTAACTACTTTGAAGAAATGTTTCAGAATCTCTGTTGCTGGTTAATTTCTTAGGATATCCACAAGTTTTCAGTTTTATAGATTTATTATTGTGAGGCCCTGGGCCAAGGACGTAGTGAATAATAAGTGGCCCTTGCCTCTGGAGGGCTTACAGACGGGAGAATAGTTAACCCATGGAGTAATATTGGAAGTGGGCAACTTGCAGAGAGGTGCAGGGGCTTCATCCAAGGATGTTATGTAGTTTTGAGGTGCTCGGAGGAAGGGGTGCTCGGAGGAGCCCCTGAGGAGATGTGGGGAGTCCATGATGGATGGGGCAGGTTTGGAGGAGACTTGGAAAGCTGGGGTGGGGGTAAAGGTGCAGGGAGAGATTGAGAGTAGTTCTATCAGTGGCAGGCATTTGGTTTAGGTGTTGGAGATGAAGTAGTGAGGAGGATAAATTTCTGTCATCAAGCTTACCTTCTCATGGAGAGTCATAAACAAGAAAACCCATTGTCTTGTTTTTTCTTAGGTTATTAGACTTCCTGAAGGCTCAGGCCAGAACTTAATGTATTTTCCACAACACTGTTATTGAGCACTTAATACTCAATGTGCATTAATTTGGCTGTCTGGTTTGTGTTTTTGCATCTTCTCCAATTTTTCTAGTATATCATCTAGTCATAACAGGAGTAGGTTCATTCAAAACATGATGATTTGTAGTTCATAACCCATGAAGAATGAACAGGCCCCTAAGTAACTAGGATAGATAACCCCTGAGTCACTCAGATGGTCACTTTAGATGGCCTGCTAAATTCACTTACCTTACTTCTGGATCAGCTCCATGTTCTAACAAACAGAGCAAACTTGGTGCCTTGTGGTATTCTGCGGCCAGATGAATTGGGATAATGGACTGTGTTTGCTGTGGGGAGACCAAAATGTATTAAAAGCACAATTTGTGCTAGCTTGCCATTCCAAGGGAACCAAGTATATTAGTTTTACATTGGTTCAGTAGTATTCTGGCATATGTGTTGAAATTTTTCTTTGCTATTGTCTATTTTAAATGACCGGTATCCAGGGAGTTTCATATTATAGAATCTGTATTTTACAGAAATGCAAATTTATCAAGGCAACACTCATGACTTTGAAAGCTGTATCTTTGTGAAGAACTCATAGTGTATAATTAATGCTCTAAAATTATTTATCCTTAAATTGTAGTGACAAGCAAGTAGGTGCTTGGTTTAAGGCTTTACCAAAGTCATATCATCAGCAGCAAACCCTGCATTTTTGGGGTTTCAAAGATAACGTAGCATATGTTCTGTCTATGATTAGCAGAGCTGTTTATGCTAGTTCTTAAAAAAATATATATGTGTACAGAGAGAAAAAGAGGAATGTGTGGTTTTATACTGTGGCTGTAAGATATGGGGGAGAGGAGGAAAAGTGAAGCTGACTTCCTTTTTTTAAAAAAAAAATTTTCTTTTTTTTAGTTGTAGTTGGATACAATACCTTTATTTGATTTATTTATTTTTATGTGGTGCTGAGGATGGAACCCAGTGCCTCACACGTGCTGGGTGAGCGTTCCACCACAACCCTAGCCCCTCCTTTTTTGTTTTTAAATGGTTAACTGGGGACTGAACCTAGGGGTGCTTGAGCACTGAGCTATGTCCTCATCCCTTTTTATTTTTTTATTTTGAGACAGGTTTAAGTTGCTAAGGGCCTTACTAAGGGTTATCTTTGAGAAGGGTGATCTAATGTTCTTTGAGCCAAATAAGTTCTAGTCTTTTCTTCCATTAGTTTACACATAGTGAATGTAAGGGAGGTCTTGCAGACCTGCACTCTGCCCTGTAGGGGGATGGGCTGGTTGGTGGCTGAGCCACATGTTTTGTTAGGGCAGCAAAGAGCTTAGATAGTTCACAAGTGTTAGATCATGTTTCTCCCTCATTTATCTAAAAGTGACTAAGTATAAAAGAGGATACCTGGCTCAGATGTAATCTATAGCTGGTGGAGCTGGCCAGAATAGTCAGGGGCTGGTTGACAGGGTGGTTTCTGAGAAGTGCCTTGATTGTAGTGCAGTCATCTTTAATTATGGCTTCGTATAGCTTAGTGTGCAGTGCTGTGGTTGAGCTGTCCTCCAGTGACTTGGTACTGTCAATTACCAGGTTTCTGCTTCCCTTCTTGGTTATATTTCCCATCAGAAAATCTTGAGACTTGTGAGTTCAGGGGAAATTGCTGTTATGGAATCAATTTGTTTCTTTATGATGATCCCTTTAGTGCAGTTCTAGAACTATTCTAGAATTGTTGAGGATTATATTTGTGAATACAGTTCATTTTTTAATTGGAGCCAAACTTCTTCAGACTTTGTTATCTGATTGCATAGAACCAAATGCCAGCAGAGTATTTAGGCTTTTCTACACAGTCACAAAAACATTTTAACTGTCATCTTACACTTATTTCTGCTTTCTCTTCCAGATAACTTAGTTCAAACAACTAACAGAACTAAACAGGGTATTTATATATTAACATCAAATTATTACATTTAAAAGTAAGAAAACAACTTTAAAAAAATTTTTTTAGTTGTTGATGGACCTTTATTTTATTCATTTATTTATATGTGGTACTGAGAATTGAACCCAGTGCCTCACACATGTGAAGCAAGTCCTCTTGTTCTTGTATACCACTGAGCCACCATCCCAGCCCAAGAAAACAACTTTCAATCCAAGTGTGTGTGTGTGTGTGTGTGTGTGTGTGTGTGTGTGTGTGTGTGTTAATTTTAGTAGAATCTTCTTTCCCCATGTAGGTGCATTTTTTTTTTTTTTTTCGTTTTTTGCTGTGCTGGGGATCAAATCCACAGCCTCACGTATGCTATGGAAGTGCTCTATTACTGAGCACATCCCCAGCCCTTTTGAAATTTGAGATAGTTCTCCTTGCTAAATTGCTGATGCTGGCTTTGAACTTGCTATCCTCCTGCCTCTGCCTCCCGAGTAGCTAGGATTACAGACTTGTGCCACTGTACCTGGCTAGATGCAGTTTTTCACTGGTGTAGGAATAGTGTGGTTGGAAGATGTTTTGGATCTGTGAAGATTGCTTAAATATATCAAATGTTTGTCTTCAGAGTGTGATAATTGTTGTTCCCAACCCTAACTAACATATGAGATATCTGAGAACTTATGAAAAATACCAAATTTGTTGGGCTTTGTGGCTGAGGGAAACTGAGGTAGAAGGGTTGGGATTTTGGGATCAGCCAAAATAGCGAGATGTTGTTTCCAAAAAAAAAAAAAAAAAAAATGTTGGCCTGGGGAAGTGTGCTTAGCATGTACAAGACCCTAGGTTCAATTCATAACACTTCCCACTCCACCAAAAAAACAGCAAACTCCCGAAAGTTTTCGTGAAAAAATCAGTCTTTGACTATTAGAGGACAGTTCTTAAAAGCTTCTCACATGATAACACACAGACAAGGTCAAGAAGCACTTGTCTTAGTATAAAGCATGCTCTTACAATAATGGTTATAAATGTGAAATACCTTTGGGACTTACATCCAGCCCCATCCAGTTTTTTACTTAGTGGAAATGAGGAATGACATGGATGTTGAGATTCCCCAGCCTGGATGTTGAGATTCTTATGAACTCCTCTGATAATTCTAACATACAGCCAAATTTGAGAACTGTTGCTTAAAGTTTTAATTTTTGACAGGGCTACTTACTTCTGAGTTGCTTTCTTCTTCTTCTTCTTTTTTTTTCTTTTTGTGGTATTAGGGATTCAACCTACAGATGTTGACATCCCCAACCCTTTTTATTTATTTATTTTTTTGACTATAACATAGCTAACCCTTTTTATTTTGTTTTTGAGAAAGGGTCTTGCTAAGTTGCCTAGGCTGATCTCAAACTTGCCGCCTTCCTGCTTCAGCCTCTTGAGAGTTGTTGGGATTACAGGCATGTCCCATTGCATTCTGTGTCAGAGTTAATAGCTCTTAACACTTATGAGTCTTCACTATTTGTTTTAAGAAAAGTAAAGAGTGGAAATGTTGTGTTTGTTTACAGCCTAGAAATATTTTTCTTCATGGTCCTGATCAGCAAGTTAAAATAGGAGACTTTGGCCTGGCCTGCACAGACATCATACAGAAGAATTCAGATTGGACCAATAGAAATGGGAAGGGTAAGCAGTTTTTTGTTTTTGTATTAAAAAAGGAACATGGTCAAACATGTTGGTATTTAAAGACCATCATAAAAATTTAATAACAAAACTAAGATAAAAACAAAATATAGTTGTTGTCCCCGTAGGAGCTACAGTCCCCTGCTTATCGTATTTCTTAATGTTGACAGTGTTAACCCTTAGTGTTTAATATGTGCTTTTTCAACTGTAGGTACACCAACACATACTTCCAGAGTGGGTACTTGTCTGTACGCCTCACCTGAGCAATTGGAAGGATCTGAGTACGATGCCAAGGTAGGATTTGTTGCTTTCTTTTTTTCATTTGAGTTGTTCTGTAATCATTAATTATCAAATAGGACAGTAAGTGCAGAAGCTGTATAGTAGAGATGTCTGGAGAGAATAGCCCTGCAGGTGACCTACTAACCATGCTGCTCTAGTAAGAAGCCTCACTTTTCACCTGAATCTGATTGTGTTGCCCTTTAGGCTACTTTACTATTTCTAACCCATGGATGTCTCAAATTGTTCCTGAAGTGAACTTTCCCCTTTAAAATGTCACCATTCAATTCAGGATGTAAGAATTCTGAGAGGCCTTTGTTCAGCTTTTCATTTTAAGCTTATGTAAATAAATGCTACAGGGAAGCCCCCCCCTTTTTTTTTTGGTACTGGGGATTGAACCCAGGATGCTTAACCACTGAGCCACACTCCAGCTCTTTTTTGTATTTTATTGAGATAGGGTCACTGAGTTGTTTAGGGCTTCTCTAAATTGCTGAGGCTGACTTTGAACTCACTGTCTTCCAGCCTTAGTCTCCTGAGCTTCTGGGATTACAGGTGTGTGCCACTGTGCCCAGTATCTTTTATTTTCTTAAAGAAGCGTTAAAGTAAATTCTCTTTTCAAAATAAGTCTATTCAATTTTCTTCTTTTTGAGGAATCCATCAGTGTTTTAGCTATTGGGAAAGAACTGGCAGAAGAAACTATGGCTGTCTCTAAAAGCCTATCTGGTAAAGACCATCCTAAAAAACTAGTTTTTAGGGAAAGTAATTAGTTCTTTCCCTTTTTGTCCTGGGGAGTGAACCCAGGCACTACCACTATATATATCTAGCCCTTTTTATTTTTTGAGACAAGGCCTCGCTAAGTTGTTCAGGGTAGCCTCAGCCTCATGAGTTGCTGGGATTACAGGTGTGTGCAATCATTCTTAGCAGTAGCACAGAATCTTTTTTTCTTTTTTTTTCTGTAGTTGTAAATGGACAGAATGTCTTTGTTTATTTTTATGTGATGCTAAGGATCAAACCCAGTGTCTCACACATGCTAGGCAAGTGTTCTACTACTAAGCTATAGCCCTAGCCCAGTAGCACAGATCTTATGCAGAATTTGCAAACATTACCAGGAATGCTTAGAGTATAGGCAGAGGTTAAACTAGAAAAGGATCTGGTGATAGTCTTGTATTGTTGGTACTAGGAGTCACAAGCTTATGTTGCTCTGCCTGCGTCAGGCCTGGATTGTCATGGATGGTGGAGACAGTCGTAGGGCTATGATTGCTGTGGGTGGTGGGAAATATTGCTGCCCTTTCACTGACCACCAATCCTGCATGCCTAGGGGTGTCCCTTTTGGGTATTAAAGAGATCAGGCTGTGAAAATCCTGGTCACCTCTTGCTTGGGATAGACACTTGTCTCTGTAAAGCATGGGCCTTCCTGTTGTATTCCTGTCTGTGACTGTAAATCCTCATTCTTAGAAATCCTTGCTTGTTTGAGAGTGTAAACTGCCTTGGAAGTGCCATTTTAACTTCAAGTTGTATTCTTTTTTTTTTTTTTTAAAGAGAGAGAGAGAGAGACAATTTTTTAATATTTATTTTTTAATTCTCGGTGGACACAACATCTTTGTTTGTATGTGGTGCTGAGGATCGAACCCGGGCCACACACATGCCAGGCAAGCGCGCTACTGCTTGAGCCACATCCCCAGCCCCTTCAAATTGTATTCTTGAACCCCCCTTTTTTGTTCTTTTCCAGTCAGATATGTACAGCTTGGGTGTGATCCTGCTTGAACTCTTTCAGCCCTTTGGGACAGAAATGGAGCGAGCAGCAGTTTTAACAGGAGTAAGAACTGGTCACATACCTGAATCCCTTAGTAAAAGGTGTCCAGTACAAACCAAGTATATCCAGCACTTAACTCGGAGGAATGCATCTCAGAGACCATCTGCTCTTCAGCTGCTGCAGAGTGAACTTTTCCAAACTTCTGGAAATGTATGTAAATTTTTTTTAATTCTGGGGGAAGTATCCAGCTTGAATAGAATTTGTTTAAATTGTGAATCCTATTTCATGAAGATCAGTTGAGTTTCAATTAAGGTTTTTGGAAACCTTAAGCCCATTCATTCTGGATTTCCTAACAACATAACAAGTATAAGCTTATACTATAGCACATTTGTATTGGGGGTTTACATGAGTTGACTCACTGCCAGCTTTCCAGTCTAAAAATAAGTTTCACTTTTTAGGCTCATCTTGCTAGTAAGTCAGTGAGAAGGTTTTTATTTTTCCTTTTCAACCATGAACCTTTTTAAAATTATTATAAAAGTGCCCACTAATAAAAAGGGACACATATCAAAGGGCAAAAGAGAGTAATAATTCTAAGGAGTAGCTAGAACAGTGGTGGCAGATAAAACCTTTGCCACAAGGAGAGCTTTCAGTGTTGGTTTTCAGCCTTGTAATATGGTGTTCTCCAGGGGATCCCATTCCCTTCCTCCTTCCTGACCATGTTCACAGTGTTAGGTATAGTCACTAGTCTGTGTATACTGGAACCAGTAGGTAATTCATCCATTCTGTTCTAGAAACTTGTAAGATTTAAGTTGGACACAGTGGCACACACATATAATCCCATCAGCTTGAGGAGACTGAACCAGAAAGATCATAAGTTTGAAGCCATGGCAATTTAGCAAGATCCCATTTCAATTAAAAAAAAAAAAAAGGTGGGGTTGGGGTGTAGGTCAGTGGTGAAGCACTCCTAGGTTCAATCCTCAGGAAAGGCTGGGGTGGGGCAAGAAACTTTCTAAGATTTAATTAAAGCTTGAGTCAAAGATATATTCACACATTGTGTAGTGCTTTCCTGCTCAAAGTATGGTCCTCAGATCAGCTGCATCAGTGCTACCTGGGAGCTCCACATTCTCAGTGAAAATCTGCATGTTTGCAAGATTCCCAAGTAATTAAAACAAGTGTTTGTGTAGCAGTCTGTGAGTGTGGAAGTTTTCTTAGTCTCTAGGTCAGCAGAAAAAATCTCTTGGGAATTTGGTAGAATCCTTAGGCCCTCACCAGTCTCCCAACCTGTTAAAAGAGGAATTCTGAGCTGGGCACAGTGGCTCACACCTGTAATCCCAGTGGCTGGGGAGGCTGAGGCAGGAGGATTGTGACTACAAAACCAGCCTCAGCAACTTAGCGAGATCCTGTCTCTAAATAAAAAATAAAAAGGGTTGGGGATGTGGCTTGGTGGTTAAGTGCCGAGAGTTTATTCCCAGTACAAAAAAAAAAAAAAAATAGGCACAAGGGAAGGGAAGGAGTTCTGGGATTGGGCAGCAGTTTGTATTTTAACAAACTCTTGAAGTGATTCTGATAGCAGTTGTTTGGAAATCAATTGTAATGATTGTTTAAAAGAATCCATAGGGGATATTTTCGTGAATGAATGGTAGAGGTATACTTAGCACGCATAAAGCCCTGAGTTCCTTCCCTAGCAGCCAAAGGGGAGAAAAATCAGGAAGTTGATTTTTCTTTTATTTAAATCATATTAATTTTCAATTAAAAATAAATTTTATTAGTTTAGATGGTAAAATGGTAGATGTGATACTTTTGAGAAAATGAAAGTAGAGGTGTGGTTCTTTAAAAGAATATATATATATATATATATATATATATATATTTTATTGAGAATTGAACTTAGGGCCTCACACCTGCTAGGTAAGTGTTCTACTACTGAGCCACAAATCCAGCCCCAGGTGTGGTTCTTTTTTTTTTCTTTAATATTTATTTTTTAGATGTAGATGGACACAACATAATGCCTTTATTCATTTTTTTAAATGTGGTGCTGAGGATTGAACCCGGGTCCTGCCCATGCTAGGGGAGAGCTCTACCACTGAGCCACAATCCTAGCCTCAAGTGTGGTTCTTTTAAAACCAAGCATAGGCATTTATCCTCTTAAGGAAGGATTCTCTAGCATCCAGTCAGGAGCTATTAGAATTGATAGTTATTTGGTATTTATGGAAAAAGATCCTCCCATCTTGTAAGGTTTTATTAAACAAAACAAAAACAAACCCCACACATCCTGTACATGTAGGGTTTATACATAGGCAGTCCTTTCTTTGCATGGTGTTATGGGACTGTAAAAGTGACTACAAAGTTAAAACATGCCAAGGGATCTTTACAATCAATAGGAAAGGTTACAATTGTTCTGTGATCTTTAAAGTTTGGAAACATTAAAATTTTCACACTGAAATGAAGAAGATCATAAAACCAATGTTTAGATAGTGCAGAGTAATAAAGAATGTTAATGAGTTCCAGGAATAGTGTGAACAGTGCCTGCCACCTTCATTTGGTAGCATGGGATGTGGAGCAAGCATTTTTTGTTTTCTGTCACTTGGTTAATTGTCATGCTACCCCCCTTTCTCTTTTTAGTGTTGTGAAACATCTCTGAGAGTATGTTTTTTTGCTGGTAGATCACCTGTTTCCTAACTTAGATTGAAATCTGTTCTTATTCTGTGAGCACACATCTATTGTTTTTCTGATAGTGTCCCTATTCCTGCAACCAGGCTACTCTTCTATCCGCCATTTACATTTGATTCATTTATGCTTCCAGCATTAACACTTTTCATATTTGTTGGCCAATATGCTCTTTCATTACCCATTTTAAGAAAATGTTAGGTAGGTTCCTCACTGGAAGACAGGGAGGCAACACAATCACTTGTTGTTAACTAACAGATGTATAGTGATCTAGCACTGATAGATTTTCAAAGATAAGTTTGGCCCCTTATCTTAATGTGCTTTGTTCACTTACACAGTACCTTGGGAGCTGAGGAAAGTTATACACAGTTGCAGTTAGTACATATCATGGCAGCTGACCCTGGAGCCATGCATTTGGGTGATTGGTGATATTTAATCTGTGAAAACTGGAATCATGTATACTGGAACTAGGCAAAGCAACTGCCTGTTACTGTTTTGTTTATTTATTTATTGTGGTGTGGGGGATCACCAGGGCCTCAGGCAGGCTTGCTGCCTGTATCCTCTACCACTGAGCCATTTTAACTGAACTTAAACATTTTCTCTTTCCAGGTTAATCTCACCCTACAGATGAAGATAATAGAGCAAGAAAAAGAAATTGAAGAACTAAAGAAACAGCTAAGCCTTCTTTCTCAAGACAGAGGTCTTAAGGATGGCCTGCAAACCTGAGGCTACCCAAGCACCCAGGTCCCCTCCTGCCAGGCTCTGTCTCTCTTTCAAAGCGTAGCAGGCACAGGCCAGGCTCTAAGAGCCGGGTGGCTGAGTGGAAGGGAGAAAGAAAAGATGGCATGTAAAATGGGAGCTTACCTGTCTAGCCTTAATTTAGGCTACATCAGTAATATGAAAGTGGACTTACTTCTTAGAATAAGTAACTGGAATGTAAACTTTCAATCTTCAGTAGGATATAGATTGTATAATTCTTAATTGTATTTAGGAAACCTGTAGAAGACTTATTAAAGATGTAAAAGTACCCCCTGCTGCCTTTTCCTTAAGTAGTTTTTTCATGATCTAAGCTTGCTCTAAATTAATTTTTCTTTCTTTCTTTTTTTTGTGTGGTTCTGGAGATTGAACCCAGAGCCTCCTGCATGTCAAAGGCTCTACTACTGAGCCAGATCTCTAGCCCTTCTACCTTAAACCTGTTCTGCTCTTTCTCTTCTCTCTTCCAGGCTTCTTTTCCTGAGTTTCCTACTTAAATATTTCTGCTCAGATTCTGAAACTAAAAACTTAAGCATCACTCAGTAATTCCTCTTTAAATTCTGCTTATTGGCCATCCAGTCCTCCTCCAGAAGGTTCTACTATAGAATCCAAGGGTGCTCTCCCTTTTCCACTGCCCACGTGGAGGCCTGCATGCCAGCTGGATTGTCACATTCCAGCAGGTGCCACTCTCCCAAGCCCTGTGGCATTGCTGCTGAAGCTAGTTACCAGAAAGACACCTTATTGCATCACTCCTTGGCTCAAAACCACCTGCTGATTCTGGCTGCCTCTAAGGTGGAACTTCCGTTTTTCTGCACCATCTCCAACTTACCTCTCTCGTTGCACCTCCGACTCCGCATCATTCTATAAACCTGCCCCAGAGAGTTTTGGATTTGCACCTAGGTGACCTGAGGACAGCAGTACCACCTTTCCTGCCTTTGCCCTGGCCTTCAGCTTCCCCAACAGCCTACATTCCTGAGGCAGTGATCTGATGTGCCTCCCACAGTTTGCAGTCCTCATACATACTGCACAGTTTTAATGAATTTTAAATAAAATGAAACCCTTAAGTTATGTGATGCTTTTATTGATATTTGAAAATTGTCTTAATATAAAGACTTTGATTCTAGTACAAGTCCCCTTATTGACAATAGGCATGAAGCAGCACCATTCTTAAAATGAAAACCCTTTAAAACCAGTTGTTGAAATTCACTTAAGGAGCTTGAGCGCAGCACTGAAGGGGGCCAGGTTTTCACATGATCTCAGCCACCGCTGCACGTTGGCTGGTGCCGTCGCACTGCAGCCTCCGGTCTGTTGGAGCACAGACCACAGCACAACATCTGCCACGGTGAGCTCGTTCCCAACCAGCCACGGGCTCTTCCCCAGAGCAGAGTTCATGGAGCGGAAAACAGCTGCTTTTTCTTTACTGCTCCCCTCTTTTAGCTGAAAAATAGCAATATCTACCCAGCTATCTATGAGGGTTGAGTTGATAGCATTATGCTTCTGGCCAAACAGAGAGAACAAGAAACGTGCAATGTTCCCTTCTCCTTCAATGGGGCACATTGTCTGGACACTGAACTTCATTTGAGTCTTGGGCACTGAAAGGGAGAAACACAACAGGCAACATGTGAGTGGCAGCTACTGAGGGAGGTACTTGTGTTATCTGGAAGGGGGAAGTCACCAATAATCACAAACTTGCAAGGGGGGAAAGTATTTTTAAGAACATCACATTTTTCACACCTCCAATAGCATTTAAATGCAAACTGTATGTTAAAAACATACCCAAGGGCTAGGGGCTAGGGTTGTGGCTCAGTGGTAGAGCACTTGCCTAGCACATGTGAGGCACTGGGTTCCATCTTCAGCACCACAGAAAAATAAAGATACTGTGTTCATAAACAAACTAAAAAATATATTAAAACAAACAAAACATACCCAAGTAGCCCTTCTGCTATTTGATTTTGACGATTTTCAAGCTGTAAGGACCTTATTAGACCATCCACCCCAACCTCTGTTGCCAAGGGATTTGGAAGCTGAGGACAGGAAACTGGGAGTCCTATAGCCTTAGTCAGGGACTCTGCCCTCATAACTTCTCTACTTGTGGAGCTAAGGGCAGTGAAGTCATTACTGATGAACGGCATTAACTCACCGCCCTCTGTATAAACCTAAACAGGACACACATCAGTGACACACCTTCAAGAGCCGTACGAAAAGTAAAGTGTCCCTGGCATAAGTTTTGTAGAAGGAGAGGGTCAGCTATGTTGCTTCACCTCAGTTCTGCCTGGTTGGATAGATTCCATCTGGAACTGTCTCTCACTGAAAGTCCTCACCACCTAGAACAATGAGGGCATCCTCTGTCAAGATTCATCTCTGTTCCACTTCTAGAACTGCCCCAAGTTTTCTATATGGAGAGGATCTGACCCGATGACAAGCAGCTCCACTCTGCTGTAGTGTCCTGTCCCTTTGTGGCCTATCTGTTCATATGTGAAGGTTAACTCTGTCCTCTACTCACCATTCTTCCAAATTAGAGTGAAGCCCAGCTGATACTCATGACGGGGCTGTTTCCTAGTCTGTTCCCCAAAGCACTTGAGAAGGTTCTCGGGCACACTTTTCACTGATGAATGTGTGTGCACAGTGGATAGCACCCTGTAGCTCTCACAGAGCAGCCTATGCAGCACGAGCAGGCAGAGAGGAGGGGAGGCAGGGTTTGCGTTGATCACGATGTCTTTCAGTGCTCCATAGTCCTAGGAGAGAGACCAGAACAACACAGCCATCCAGAGCAAGCGCCAGGGGATATTGCCAGGATTACTGAACTGAATCCCTGGCTCCCACAAAGGAGGTACTATTAGGATCCCACCTTACAGCCAGGAAAACTTGAGTCCTGGTGAGGCAAGTAACTTACTAAAAGGATACTGAGCTCAGAAGTGGAGGCTGGATGTGGCTGACTCCATGTCTTAAGCTCTCCACTGCTGGCTCCCCATGATTAGAAAGTAGACTTTACTGTCAAATACAAAACAACACTGGGGATGACATTTCTGTCTGTCCTTTTTATCTGAGATAAAACCAAGTTAAAAACAATCAATGTGTAATTCCTCCAGCTACCAATCTTAACAATGACCACACTTAGGGTTTCTATACCAATTTGTGTTCATCAAGGTATTTCAATGCCCCTTGAAAAAGGGTCTTGGCTCCAGAGGTCACTGCCGAAGAGGGGAGAAGACATTCTGCATCCTTAGTGCTGACCAAAGTGCCAAGGCTTGCAGCCTTTTTATTTACTTATTTTGTCCTGGGGACTGAATGCATCCAGGAAAACTTTACCACTGAGCTACATCCCCAGCCTTTTTTGTTTTTTATTTTGAGATAGGGTCTCACTAGGCTTTACTAAGTTGCTGTGGCTGGCATTGAATTTGTGATCCCCCAGTCTTGGCTTCCCAAATGGCTGGGATTATAGGCACATACCACTGAACACAGCTATACCTACAGTCATTTTTTAGAGGTTGACATTCTTATTTCTATGCTTTTGCTCTTAATAACAAATACAATTCATGTAGACAATCATAACCTGATTCCTTAACCTTTTGCACACAGCCTGCCACGTTGGATTGATGTCCTTCACGCCAAGCTAAATAGAACACTTTGCAGTTCCCCAAAAAGATCACATTACTCGATGCTGTGCCTTCAGAGGTATCAAAATGCCACACACTGAGAAATCACTATTCTGTTGTGTTGGGGGCCTGGTCAGGTCTCCTTTAGAAGTCAGTACAGAATGGGTGGGCAGAGGAATAGATACAGTAGGGAATTTTGGGACAAACCCTTTGAACCCTCAATTAAATACCAGTTTTTTTTTTTTTTTTTTTTTAGTTGTAGTTGGACACAATATCTTTATTTATTTTTATGTGATGCTGAGGATCAAACTTAGTGCCTCACAGGTGCCAGTTGGGTGCTCTACCACTGATCTACAGCCCCAGCCCTAAATACCAGTTTTTAATAAGACATTCTTTGCTTAGCAGATTATTCCCCTAAATTAGCTGAAACCTATAAACTTCAATCATGAAAGCTGGCTGACAAGGACTATTCTAACATAGCAAACTGAATTTGAGGAAAATATGCAGGAAACAGAATGAGGGACCAGCTTTCAGCAATGTATCTCAAAAGGGTTGGTGAGATACACGTGCCTGGGCAGCCAATGCTTCTCTCAAAACGTTAAGGCTGCCACTATTGAGCCTCTGAGAAGACCTCATAAATAAGTGGAGACCTGTACTTCAGGACTTCAAGGCTGGTAAACAGACCTTGGACCCTCAGGAGACTGTAACTTGTCTCTCTCTGCCTACTGCTCCTCCCATTCTCCCCAGAGTCTGAGAAATTAAGAAGGAGCTTTGGAGCTTGCATTGGCTTCACTCTTGCCTTCTAAACCTGTTCTGTGCTAAGGTACAATTATTTAGAGAAAAAAAGAACATGCTCCTTGCTCTACCTTTGAGAACTAGAAAGCAAGGCAAAAATCACACTGGCATGATTTTTCTGGCACAAACAACTATCCAACACATACACTGTCACTCAGCTTTCTAAATGAACCTACCTTTCCAAGCACTGAATTCAAATCTAATGCATTGGTTGTTAAAGTAGTGGGCTCATCAGCTTGCATGATGTTTGTCACATCCATGTCTGCATCTGGTGTGTGAATCATCTTGGAGAGACCATCGACTGCAGCTTTCAACTCATACAAACGTTTTAAAATATCATCTTGGCGGGACTCAAGAGCTTGCAGAGAGGGGTCAGGTGCTTCCTAAACAAACCAACAAATGGCCTACATTTGATCACTTGTTTTACTTTGTCCCATTCGCTCGCCACTCTTTAAAAGCCATTACAATGAATCAGCAAAATCATTTCATCCCCCCAACCCTCCCATCTAACAGGTTCTCCAAATAGATCCACAAATGCTCTAAAATAAAGGAGAAACATTGTGACTTAAAGTCACTTTGAAATTGTCTGATTCCTATTTCAGGTAATTTTGTCCAAGAATAGAGAAGGGTAGAAAATGAACACAAATCACTTTATAATTTTGGGGGGTGGGGGTGCCAGGGATTGAACTCAGGGACACTTGACCACTGAGCCTCATCCCCAGCCCTATTTT